AGTCTCAGTGACTCCACCAGGCTCCATTGGACCAGCAAACCCGGTCCCCCTTTTTTTTTTTCTCCAAACGATTTTGAGTTTTGTTCCACATTGTTCTCCCTCTCCATCCAAGATCACCTACATAGATCCCCTTCCAAGTGGCAAACAGTAGTAGCTGGGCACCATCCAGCTCCTCTGGTCCCACAGTCATACAGGCTGCAGATCAGATGGTGTACCAATCGCCAGGACAAACCATCTCCATGAATGTTTGGTTTTCTTCACTCTTCCTTGCTTTGGACAAGGAGAGACCCATTGCAAGCCTTTAAGATCCCAGAAGGTCTGGTAACATAGTGCCTAAGGCACTTGACTGCTAACCAGAAGGCTGGCGGTTCAAAGCCACCAGCCACTCCTCAGAAGGAAGATGAGGCAATCTTCTTCCATAGTGATACTGCCTCGGAAACCCAAGGAGGGTCTTATTGCTATGAGTCGGGTCTGACTCGACAGCACATAATAGCAACGATAACTCGCCAAAGTAGGAAGTGGAACAATGTTTTGTGTAGTATGTTATGCCAGTTGAGCTTGATGTCCCCTGTGACTACGGTCCCGAGCCCACAGGTCCAACTCCTTGCTCCTTCTGGGTGTGGCGAAGAAGTGACTATAACCTTGTTCCTTGTCAGCTTTACTATATACCTGGAATTCTTACAGAACATACAAATACACTTGTACAAACATTGTTTGCCAGCCCTATACATGGTCATGGTCACACTGCCCCCTGTGTGGTGGTGTTGTTATGTGCCGTTGAGTCACACCTGACTCAACGAGTGACCCCTCCTTGGGTTTCCAAGGCAGTATCACTACAGAAGTAGATTGCCCAACCTTCCTTCCAAGGAGTGGCTGGTAGGTTTGAACCACCAGCCTTCTGGTTAGCAGTCAGGTGCCTTAGGTACTACACTACCAGAGCTCCCTGCCCCCTGTGTAGACATACCTAATAGTTCAGCCTGTCCACCCATCTATCCACCTGTTGTTGTTGTTGTTATGTGCCGTCGAGTCGGCCCCGACTCATAGCGACCCCTCCTTGGGTTTCCGAGGCAGTATCACTACGGAAGTAGGATTGCCCAACCTTCCATCAGTGTTTACCTTCACTGACAACACAGTACTGTATGTGCAAAATAGTTCATCTTTGTCATCTGTACCTCTCATGTGCACCTCTCTATATTGTCTTCTTCCTCAATGCCATCGTGTTGATCACTCAATATTGGGTACATTGCCCTTCTCTTTACCCAAATCAGTATTTGTCTCTACCTCTGTAACAGTGTTCTCTCCCCTCCCCACCATTCCCCTCTTGCCTTTGGTAACCAACAAAGAGGATTTCCTTCCATATATAAACCTTTCCTTGACTTTTTACAGTATTGGACTAATAAGATATTAGTCCTTTAGTGGTTGACTTATTTCACTCAGCATGATGTCCTCCAAGTTTATCCATGTTGTGCGGTGTTTTTCAGTTTTTACGTTATTCTTTAGGGATCATAGTATCCCATTGTGTGTATGTACCATAGTTTGGTTACCCATTCTTCTGTTGATGGGCATCTAGGTTGTTTCCATCTTTCAGCAATTGTAAATAGTGCTGCGATGAACATCGGCGTGCATATATCTGTTCTTGTTTTTCATTTCTTTAGGACATATAGCTAGTAATGGAATTGCTAGGTCAAATGGTATTTCTAATTCCAACTTTTTAAGGAATCACCATGGTGCTTTCCACAGTGGTTGTATCATTTGACAGTCCCACCAGCAGAGCATGAGAGTCCCAATCTCTCCACCTCCTTGTCAGCATCCATTATTTTCTGTCTTTTGGTACTTTGCTACTAGTGTTAGGTAGGGCAAGATGGTATCTCATTGTTTTCGTTTGCATCTCTCTAATGGCTAATTATCATGAACATTTCTTCATATGTTTGTTGGCCACCTGAATATCCTCTTTGTTGGTGTCTATTCATGTCTTCTGCCCCTTTTTTAATTGGATTTTTTGTCTTTTTGTTCTTGAGGTGTTGGAGTTTTCTATAAATTCTAGAGATAAGTCCCTTGTCATATATGTTGTTTCCAAATATTTTTTCCCCATCTGTAGGTTCCCTTTTGACTCTTTAGGAGAAGTCTTTGGAAGCACATAAAAATTTAATTTTTAGAAGGTGCCATTCATCTAGTTGATCTTCTGCTGTTTGTGCATTTTGGGTTATGCTTGATGGTCTATTTATGCCATATATTAAAAGCAAAAGTCAAACTCACTGCTGTGGAGTCAGATCTGACTCATAGCGACCCCTTCTTGGATTTCCAAGACAGTATCACTATGGAAGTAGATTGCCCAATCTTCCTTCTGAGGAGTGACTGGTGGGTTTGAACCACCAGCCTTCTGGTTAGCAGTCAAATGCCTTAGGCACTGCGCCACCAGAGCTCCCATGCCATATATTGTTGTTGTTGTAGGTATTGTCGAATAGGATCCGACTCATAGCAATCCTTCCTTGGGTTTCCAAGGTAGTATCACTACAGAAGTAGATTGCCCCATCTTCCTTCTGAGGAGTGGCTAGTGGGTTTGAACCGCCAGCCTCTGGTTAGCAGTCAAATGCCTTAGGCACTGCGCCACCAGAGCTCCCATGCTATATATTAGGGACCTAAATTTGTCCCTAGTTTTTCCTTTAGGAAGTTTATAGTTTTAGTTTCATATTTAAGTCTTTGATCCATCTGGAGTTAGTTTTTGTATATGGTGTAAGGTACAGATCTTGTTTCATTTTTCTGGAAATGGATATTCAGTTTCGCCAGCACCATTTGTTAAACAGACAATCTCTTCCCCATTTAATGGATTTTGGCTTTTTGTCAAAGATCACCTGACCAAAGGCCGGGGTTCTCAGTTCTATTCCATTGGTCTACGTGGCTGTATGCAACACAATGCAACCACTGCTGTGGGGTCGGATCTGACTTATAGCGACCCCTCCCAGGCAGTATCACTATGGAAGTAGCTTGCCCAACCCAACCTTCCTTCCGGGAAGTGGCTGGTGGGTTTGGACCACCAGCCTTCTGGTTAGCAGTCAGATGCCTTAGGCACTATGCTATGTGGCTGTATAGTAGGTTTTGAGATCCAGCAGTTTGAGACCTACTTTGTTGTTCTTATTCGGTAGTGCTTTGCTTATCTGAGGTCTCTTTCCTTTCCATAGAAAGTTAGTGATTGGTTTTTCCATACCCTTAAAGAATGCTGATGGGATCTGGATTGGGATTACATTGAATGGATAGATTGCTTTGGGTATAATTGACATTTTCACAGTGTTGAATCTTCCTGTCCACGAGCATGGTATGTTCTTCCATTTATGTAGATCTCTTATGGATGAACCATTTTTTTTTAACAGTATTATTGATTCTCTTTCTGAACTTTATTCTGAACCACTGGTCTATTTGTTTATCCCTTTGTGAGTTCTGTGTTATTTATGAATGAAAACAAATTTTTAAAACAAATTCTGCTCTGTAAATTTTCACCCAAAGCACAATAGGAAAAAAGGAAAGAAATGTTGATACTTATTTCCTTGCTGATCTTAATTGTGTTGATTATTCTTTAGTTTTTGCTCTTCCATATGAATTCCTATGTGGCATTCCATTGTAAGATTATTCTGTTTTATTTATCTACTGTGGATGAACAATTTTTTCCCAATAGTGAGTTATGTGAATAATGCTCCTGTGAACATTTATGTGCATATCTTTTGATGTCCCTTTAATTTCCCAGAAATAGCTCTTCAACTTTCATAGAATAAACTCCTTACATTTTTGTTGGGATTACATTGAATCTTTAGATCAACTTTGATAGAAGTAACATTGATTTCCAATGTTAGTCTTCCAGTTATAAACATGATATGTTCATCCATTTACTTAGGTGTTCAATTTTTCTCAATAATATGTGATCCTTTTCTATAGAAAGGGCTTATGCATTTTTTTTTAGATTTGTTTCTAGCTATTTGCTGCTTTAAATGTTATTGTTTTAATTACATGTTATAGTTGTTGCTGGTTTATAGAAGTAATAGTTAATATAAGGCCAATATCTTTATATCCAGCAAGTGTCCTAACTTAATTTATTAATTCTTATAGATTATTTTGTATATCCCAAATCTGCATATCCAGTGAAGGAGCTCTGGTGGTACAGTGGTTAAGGGCTTGAACTACTAACCAAAACATTAGCAGTTCAAGCCCACCAACTGCTCTGTGGGATAAAGATGAGGCAGTCTGCTTCCATAAAGATACAGCCTTGGAAGCCTTGGAGGGTAGTTGTACTCTGCCCTGTAGGGTCACCGTGAGTTGGAATCAACTCATTGGTCCACAACAACAACAACAACAACAACACATACCCAAATGTGTCATTTGCAAGTAATGACAGTTTTATTTCTTTCTTATTTATATGTATGTTATCATTTTATTTCTTCCTGCTTTATTGCACTGACTAGGACCTCAAAAGCAGGGACCAGAAAAATTTTTCCAGTAAAGGACCAGCCAGAAAGGAAATCAACAATTTCTGTATAAATGTATGACTATAAAGTGTTGTAAGAGGTAAAGGAGCTCTGGTGGTGCGGTAGTTAAAGCATTCAGCTTTGAGGTCGGTTGTTCTAGTCCACCAGCCACTCCATGGGAGAAAGGTGAGGCAATCTGTTTCCATGAAGATTTACAGCATTAGAAAGCCTATAAGACAGTTCTACTGCATCCTACGGGTTTGCTGTGAGTTGGAATTGACTTGATGGTAGTGGGAGGTGAAAATAGTTTTGTAGGTGAGTCTTGAGCAATTTTTATTAATTCAAAGAACTGTACCTATTTTTCATAGCTTGAAAGGGGGCATTTTTTATAAGAATTGGTAAAGGAAAGAATGATTTGTAGCCATGAAAGAATTGGGGTATGGCATTTACCTAGTGGAGTAACAGTTGATGGAGGGTTTGATTATTTTGAATGTGCCTAAGTGTAAAATTAATGCTTGTCTCTCTTTTTAAATCTCTTTAGGAAAAATAGAAATGAAGGTACATATGCACACAAAATTTTGCCTCATTTGTTTGCTGACATTTATTTTCCATCATTGCAACCATTGCCATGAAGACCATGACCATGGCCCTGAAGAGCATCACAGACACCATTGTGGGATGACAGAATCAGAGCCAAGCAAATTTTCAGTGCTGGATGCTGAAAATCAGAAAAAGTGCTACATTGAAAAACTTTTCTACCGTTATGGTGAAAATGGAAGATTATCCTTTTTTGGTCTGGAGAAACTTTTAACAAACCTGGGCCTTGGAGAGATAAAAGTAGTTGAAATTAATCATGAGGATCTTGGCCACGATCATGTTTCTCACTTAGATATTTTGGCAGTTCAAGAGGGAAAGCATTTTCACTCACATAACCACCAGCATTCCCATAGTCATTTAAATTCAGAAAATCAGACTGTAACTACTATATCAACAAAAAGAAATCATAAATGTGATCCTGAGAAAGAGACCATTGAAGTATCTGTAAAATCTGATGCTAAACATATGCATGACCATAATCGTCGCTTACATCATCACCATCGTTCACACCATCGCCTTGATCATAACACTACTCGCCATTTTCATAATGATTCCATTACTCACAGTGAGCGTGGGGAGCCTGGCCATGAACCATCAACAGAGACCAATACAACACAGGAACAACGTGAAGTTAAGCCACAGAAACAAAAGAAGAGAAGAAAAGGAAAGAAAAGTAATGAAAATTCTGAGGTTATCACACCAGGTTTTCTCCCTAACCGTGATCAGGGTGAACAGTATGAGTATAATCGTGTCCACAAACTCGATCGTGTACATAACCCAGGTCATTCCAATGCACATCTCCCAGAACATAATGGTCACGACCCTGGGCATGGACACCAAGATCTTGATCCTGATAGTGAAGGGGAACTTCGACACACCAGAAAGCGAGAAGCACCACATGTTAAAAAAAGTGCAATTTATTCAGCTGCTAGTCACAAAGATCATAATGAAGATGACCATCAACATGACGAGGTAAGTATAAAAAGATGTCTGATGGTTGCTCCTGAATTCTTAGGAATTGTGAAATATTTTAGGTAAAGAAGGGGTATCAGTAGTGTAGTTATTTCAACATACTTTTGGGCAGTAATCCTGAACAAAATGCATTAATGAACCAAAATCATATTAAAGATTTTGTCTGCATTTTTGTTTATTTTGTTTGCTTTTGATATTCCCAAATTTGGTATCCTCAAGTTTAAATGTTTAAAGGTTGTTAGAAATAGATTTCTTCTTAAAATTATTTATTTTTCTATCTTGCTTATGACTTAGTTGACTTCACAAGTTACTTTTCACTGTTATTACCATTAGCTGGCTTGCAGATACTTGAAAATTGACACACACACACAAACATACACACACACAACCTGTATACTTGGGAAGTGACCAGAGCAATTTCATTTTTATAACTTAATTTATTGAATTAATTATTGAGTAGTTCTCAGTCATCGCTGTACTTCTAGTGTCAAGTGTTTGGCACATTTGTTGTTGTTGTATGTGCCGTCGACTCAGCCCTGACTCCTAGCGACCCCTCCTTGGGTTTCCGAGGCAGTTATCACTACGGAAGTAGGATTGCCCAACCTTCCTTCCGAGGAGTGGCTATTTAGTTGTTTTTTTTCCTGTGACACTTAATGATGCTAATGATATTACATATTTTTATGCAAACGATGTGCATATAAACACACCAACCACTACCTCACTCAGGAGATATTTTTGTAAGCACAACTTTGCCAGTTTTTTTTTTTACATGATGCTGTTAAAAAAAAAGAATAGCATGGTTAAGAAATTACCTCCTGGGTGGAAAGGAGCAGTTAGCAAACAAATGTGGAAGGTGCCTGTTATTTGTGTAAATATAGGTATGGCTCATCTTTTCCCATACTGTAAAAGATTTAGAGGAAAGATACAATGATGGGAAACTAATAGGAGAGGGATGGTCCTCTTTTTCCTTCTAAATTTTCATACTCTTTCTGATATTTTTGCATTTGATTAGTTCCTTGCTTTTTTTTCTTTTAATTATTTACCTTAAGCATATTTATTTATGTTTCATCAAAGTCCTATCAATGGCCTAGTTTATTCTAATTTTTAGTACTTTGTAAAAATTGAAATTTAGAAAACTTTGTTGAATCAGAATGTTTGTTGTTTATACATACAGAAAGCAGCACAGGAAAAATGTTAGATGGGCAGCCTTCTGTTCCCTGCTCCAAAATCAAGTATGGAAAATGACCTCACCTATTTCTCTCTTTTTCACGGAAATATTTTTTACATCTAAGTAAATAGCTTTTTCTTTCTTTCCTGGATAAATCATTAGATATTTGTTTGTTTTTTAGAAGTTTTAAACACTGATAATAATTTACATATTAAAATCTTAGTGTGTTTTTTAAGAAATACATTCACTTACCACTATTGATAATATCCTAGAATCTTTTTATTAATAATCACTGGACATTATCATTCATGTTTACTCATTGTAGCAGGCCTATGGGTCTGTATTATAAGACCTTTTATTTTGTATTCTTATAGGTCTAATGCATCTAGGAATCCTTGGGGTTTCTGGAAATGTTTTATGTATTGGATTGGGTAGTACCCAATAATTAAGAACTGAGAGCAGTCATCTTTTTTTAGTTGTCTGGTTGGTTGTTTTGGAGCTGTAGGTAAAATCTTGTGAAATAAACAAGTGAAAAAAAATAATAAACAGAATGGACTTGTGTGAAGAAGAGGCAGTTCCATTTCCTATGCCTCAATTTAGATATTTGTTTTTACTGTATAATAGAACCCAAACTTGTTTGCTTTCCCCCTCCCCCTCATTTTGTTTTTAAAGTTCAGTAGATGGAACTGCCATATTTTTAGTATATGTGCTGCCAAAGCGAGCACTGAACTGCCATTTTTTAAATCTTTCAGCTCCATTTCTGTGTCAACTAGATTGGACTAGACTTTCCCAATGTAATAGTCTTTTAGGGGTGCCTTAGTGGACATGCCTATATTGTGGTTTATTTTTTAATGTAAAGTTATTAAAATACTCTGTTAACACTACTTCACAAATTATAATCTCCAATTGATCATTGTAATCTGACTAGGGAAATGAATTTTCTCCTCACCCCATAGGAACCTTTGGGAATACAGCTGTGAATCAGTCTTATGAATGGGAGGAAGTTATTCTCTCTTATCCGTTAGAGTGGAAAAATGGTTAAAATCTGTAAAAAGTCTTGGGTAATCTAGTTGAATATGTCTCTATCATAAATTCCTATCGAAGTTTTATTTGTAACAAATATCTGTTACTCCAGGTTATTTTCAAGTAATATTTAGAGTATTTCCTCTCACATAGAAATTTCTTTTTCTATATAATCTTTCTAAAGATACTCTTATACTTTGTTTTGTTTATTTTTTGCAGTGTTTGAACGTGACTCAGTTGCTAAGATACTATGGTCATGATGCCAACTCTCCTATCTCACCTGATCTATTCACATGCCTTTGCCCTGCATTACTGTATCAAATTGACAGCAGACTTTGTATTGAGCATTTTGACAAACTTTTAGTTGAAGATTTAAACAAGGATAAGAATCTGGTTCCTGAGGACAAGTCAAATATAGGTGCATCAGGTAAGTGTGAGATTTGAATTTTTCCTCCTCAAAATAGCCTTACAAAACTTACTTTCTAAAGTAGATCCAAACTTCCAATTTATCTTCCAGACTTAATGTTGGTATTACTTTTAGGACTTTTTTCCTCATACCTGTGCACTATTTACTATGTTCATCATATTGCTGATATTTTTCTGGTGTCCTTTACATTGTAAACAATAATATCCAAGAGAATATGGTTTTGATGTGATGTGCTAGTTATATATTTTTTGAACATACACTATTATGCTCTACTCTAAAATAAAGTGTGCATTATGCCAAATTGTCTCCAAGCTGAAAGTTCTTTACTCGGCCCACAGAGCATTCGCTGCCTACTTACCTTTCCATCCTTATCCCCCACCATTCAGTTTCTTTCTCTTCACTTGACTGACTATAACAAACTCCTAACTAATAAGATTGTGCATATTTTCCCTCATTCCTCTCTGCTTTTTCACATTGTAAGCCCATTACTTAAAATGTCCTTCTCTGCCTGGCTGAACTACTATTCCTCAAAGATCCAGCTCAAGGATTATCCCCTCTGGGATAGCTAACTGACTATCCTATGCTTAATTAATCACCTTCCTTGTCACCCTCTGGATACCTCTATCTAGTGTAGATTTTGGAGAATTGTAATAATTTGGTCACTTACCTCTCTTTTTTGTACTTTAAGTAGCTTAAAGGTATGACTGGGTCTTTCATCTCAGTATCCTTGATGCCTAGGATAAAAAGCACTTCATAGCAAAAAGCCAGCTTTCACATGTACGCCAACGTATATTATTCCAGTAGGCAAAAAGTAGAGACAGTCCCAATGTCCATCATCAGAGGAATGGATAACAAAATGTGATATATACATACGATGGAACTGTAAAGAACAATGAAATTCTGATACATGCTACAGCATGGATGAACCTTGAAAACAGTGACAAGAGGACAAATACTGTATGATCTCACTGACACGAACTGTTTAGATTCCGTAAATGCACAGAGACAAAAGTTTATTAGTGTCAAGGGGGAGGAATAAATGGGAGTTATTTTGAAGGAGGAGTACTGTTTGGGGTGATGTAAAATTTTGGAAATGGATAGTGGTGATAGTTGCACAACAAAATGTGATTAATGTCATTAAATTGTATATTTTTTTATACATACAGTTCAGTGATACTGGTTATATTCATCACGTGGTAGAGCTCCCGCCACTATATGTTTCTGGATATTCTACCACCATTTGTTACATATTGTTTTTAAAGTTATTATTTTTTTTTAAAAGCACTCATTGATTGAATGAATAAATTGCTTAATTTTACTCTATAAGCATGCAGTTATAATCTAGAAAAGACACTTGTTAAAAATGAGCCTTTAAAGAACATCATATGAAAATACCAGTTAACCCAATGTACTTTGATAAAATGTTCTCAGAATGATTGGGATTTTTAGGAAGATGCAGATTCAAAACAAAAATATCTTCACCACTTACAAAACCATGGTGGAGTTACTGTGAACTTAGTGTAACAAACGTAGCTCTGGTTGATACACTCAAGAAGTAGTGGTACTTAACAGTAATTCAAATGATAGGTATGAATATGGACTAAGGCACTCTGGTGGTGCAGTGGGTGAGGCATTTGACTGCTAACTAGAAGTCGGCAGTTCAAACCCAGCAGCTGCTCTGCAGGAGGAAGATGAAGCAATCTGTTTCTGTAAAGATTTACAGCCTTGGAAGCCAAATAGGGGTCATTTATGAGTCAGAATTGACTCAGAGGCAGTGGTTTTGATTTTTTGGGGGGTTTTTGAAAATGGACTAAGAACTGAATTTTGGTAAGATAAAGGATTAAAAGGACAAAATTTTTGAAAATTCATAGTGAAGGAATAAGGTAAACATGTTTTGAATTTGTATTTTGGAAGACCTCTTCCTTCTTCCCAGTTAGTGTTAGTCTGGAAGCTCTGCTGAAACCCGTCCACTGTGGGTGGCCCTGCTGGTGTTTGCTTAGCTTCCAGCATGACAGCAACATGCGGGCCACCACAGTCCAATAGACTGACAAACAAGTGGTGGGAATTCAGTATATAAGCCTTTTCTTTGGAGTAGAGGTATTCCTCGAATCTTAAAAGAACATAAATTTAAAAGAAAAAAAAAATGCTAGAAATACGTAGTAAAGTAAGTCTCCTGTTATTGTTGTTATTGTTATTTGCCATCGAGTCGGCCCTGACTCCTAGCAACCCCTCCTTGGGTTTCCGAGGCAGTTATCACTACGGAAGTAGGATTGCCCAACCTTCCTTCCGAGGAGTGGCTGGTGGGTTTGAACTGCCAGCCTCCTGGTTAGCAGTCAAGTGCCTTAGGCACTATGCTACCAGAACTCCTAAAGTAAGTCTCCTAGGCACCTGTATTTTCATTCCTGGTTAATTTCTCTGCAACAGGAAAGTAACTTTAGAGTAGATAAACTAATCCATTACCTCATATTTATTGTGACTTTAACCTGTGGTAAGACCTTCAACAAGATGGATTGACAGTGGCTACAATGATGGGGTCAAGTCTAGCAGGGATTGTGAGGATGGCACAGGACTGGGCAGTGTTTCGTTCTGTTGGACGTAGCATTGCTGAAAGTTGGAGCTGACTCAACAGCACCTAACAACAGCCACCACGTCCTGGGTGCTGTGCTGAGCGCTTTCACAAGTATATTTCGTTTACTCTATTAACTCATGAAATGGGCACTTTTATTACTTCCATTTGGTGATGAAAAGGATGATTAGAGAAGTAAAGTAACTTATGCAAGTTCACACAGCTGACAGATAGCAGGACTGTGATACAGACGAGGGCATTCTCAGTCCAGGAATCCCTGGGGGTGCAGAAAGTTAACACACTCAGCTGCTAACCAAAAGGTGGGCAGTTTGAGTCCACTCAGCAGTACCTTGGAAGAAAGTCCCGAGAGTCTAAACCAAACCAAACCAAGTGTGTTGCCATCCAGTCAGTTCTGCCTCAGAGTGACCCTATTGGACAGAGTAAAACTGCCCATTGGGGTTTCCAAGGTTGTAACTCTTTACAGAAGCATATTACTGCCACGTTTTCTCCCACGGTTCAAGTAGGTGGGTTTGAGCCACTGACCTTTCAGCTAGCTGAGCACTTAACCACTGTGCCCCCAGGGCTTCTTCTGGCCATCTACTTCTGAAAAATCAGCCATTGAAAACCCTCTGAAACACAGTTCTACTCTGATCTCATGGGATCACCATGAATCAGAATCTACTGGATATAAGCTGATTGGTTGATTGTCCGTCCAAAACCTATACTCTCCTGCTAAATTGTGCTCTATTACTTCCTGTTAAAAATGTTCTTAAGATGTGTTTTGCAAAATGTAAGTGACAGGAAGATGAAGAGAGTTACATTTAATAGTGGTTTGACAAATAATGCAGGCACAGGCAGGAAAGTAGTGGTGGTTGTTGGGTGATAGCGAGTTGGTTCCTGCTCATAGCAACAACCCTGTGTACAGCACAAGGAAATGCTGCCTAGTCCTGTGTCCTAACAATTTTTGAGACCATTGCTGTGGTCACTGTGTCAGTCCATCTCCTTGAGAGTCTTCCTCTTTTTCACCAATCCTCTACTTGATGAAGCATGGTATCCTTCTCCAGGGACTAGTCCCTCTTGATAACATGTCCAAAGTATGTAAGATGAACGACCACTAGTCTTACCATTTTTTTGTGCTGTGGTGGCTTGCATGATGCTGGAAGCAATGCCATTGGTGTTTCACATACCACTAGGCTCATCCGTGGTGGAAAGTTTTCAGCTTCCAGACTGAGACAGAGTAGGAGGAAGGACCTGGCAATCTACTTCTGAAAAAATTTGCTGGTGAAACCTTAAAGATAGCAGTGGAGCATCGTAGGAAAATGGTAGAGAAGTAAATATTGCTGTAAGTATTGATAGATAAGTCTGTAACAGAGCTCTGGTGGCACATTGGGCTGCTAACCAAGAGGTTGGCAGTTCAAACCCACCAGCCACTTCATAGGAGAGAGATGTAGTCTGCTTCCGTAAAGATTTACAGCCTTGGAAATGGGACATTTCTACTCTGTCCTATGGGGTTTTTTTTTTTTTTCTTTTTTTTTTCTTTTGTAATTCTGTAACAAAAATCTAGGAGTGGTCTTCGGTAGACAAACTGAATTCAATCTGGGAAGATCAGTAAAGGCAGAGAAAGATCTACACACTAGGTTTGAATTCTGACCTCAGGGAAGATAAAGTCACATTCTTTTTCTGCCTTCATGTTCATTGTTCTTTGCAGAGAATCTTGACAGGCATAGTCCCCCTTAGGTGCCTGTCATGTGGCAGGAGAAGGGGAGGCGAGGTCTGAAATTATTGAATTTAATTAAAAATAAAATGGATTTGTTCCACACAAGGAAAAAGACTGACAAACTTGTCTTATGTAGAGTTAAAGCTTCATATATATATATTTATTTATTTGTATATATAAATATGTTTTTTTTAAAGGCTTCTAAGAAATTCTAGTTCTTTTGTTATCAGCTATGGATTATGACTTTTAATTAGAGTTGTCTATATTGCAATATTGCCATAATCCATACATTGTAATGAAGATGTTGACAGATGCTTGAGTGTAACATTGAAAGTAACAGCCTATTCAATCAAAGAAGCTTTAGAAGAAATTGTACTTGCTTTGAAAACAAATACATTACTAATAGTGAATATTGATTAGATGTTTGCAGGTGGTTATTAGCATTGTCAGAAATAAAGTTTGAATTAATTATGTCCTGATAGATGTTAATAATTGTTAGAAAGAATGCCCTGCAAGTAATTATTTTTAACGACTGCTGCACCATTAAGAAAGGTTAACTTGTTCTGTATAAATCTCCCATAGTGACACAGCTACTACCTCATTAACTTTGTTCAAAGACCTGCTGTAAACCAAATATGCTATATACTGTGTATGGTAGAAATCGTTTGTTTCAAAGATTGGCTCATTTAGTCATAGAGTTGACCCCAGCTTAATTAC